CCAGGCGGGTCTCAAACCCGCGGGCTCAGACAATCCACTCACCTCAGCCTCCCAAAGGTGTGGGATTACAGGCTGAGCCACCGAGGCCGGCTTGAGTTTTGGGTTCTTCATTTTGATTCCAAAAAATCAGGTTTTAGAATAAATTATACTGTTCTCGCATCAGAACTGGGAATCCTTCGACCTAATTTAGACCAGAGGGCCAGGCCGTGGGCGGGCCAAGTGCCTCTGGCTGAGGGGGATGGTGGGTGGGGCGAGGCTGGGAGGTACTGTGGCCTTTCTGGGAGTCTCCAGTGCCCTCCTGGAGGCAGGGCCCACCGGCTGGGCCCTTCGGCCCCTCTTCTTCTGGTGGCCAGAATGGAAAATTCGTGGAGTCCAGCTTAGCCCAGGTCAACAAGCTTTTATTGCCACGTCTGGCTCCCCCAGCCTCAGCAGGACTCCTGCTTCTTACGCTGCAGAAATGTAGAAATACTGAGCTCCGGTGCAGGAGAATGGGGTCGAGTGCTACCACTCCTCTGCACACGGCCGAGTTAAAACCCCACTTGCTGGAGAGGGAGGCCAGACAGGGAGAAATTCACGGGCAAGTATGGCTCAGTCCCACTTCTGATTCCAGAGTGTAGGGACCATGATTCCAAGCTTTTTTCAGAGGGGGTGGGGTGGGGATGAATCTGGCTGCTGTTGTCCCCCTGGCTCTGCTGCCATGTTGCCATGGAAATGAAGGAGGGGCAGGATGTAGCTCACTCTGACTACCTGGGAGGATGGCAGGGCAGGCATTTCGTAAACATCCCCTCCATGCCTGCCTCACACACACAGCTGTCCCCAGCCGGCCCCCACACTCACTCCCCACTGCCAGGTCTCCTCCCCTCCCTTCTGGAGCTGGTATCCTGCCAACTGGACTCCAGGCAGGGCTACTGGTGTCCACTCTCCACAGCCAGGCCTTGCTGGCAAGGCAGAACCTCAGCGTGTCCACCAGCTCGGTGGCAACCCCAGTGGCAGCAACCCCCGCCCCACATGTCTGCCCAGCAAAACCTCAAACATCAACTCAAAGGCTTGGGGTTATAACTCTGGAGCGAGGTCGAGGGTCAGGACAGGGAGAGGAGTGCATCCTCCTGAGACGAGCACCTGTGCACCCTGCCACCCGCTCATCTGGGGTCCACTCCTGCCCACTGGGCTGCCATGGGGGGCTGGCATCCACGTCTCCATGTGGTACTGTTCCGGGGGCCGCTGTGTTGGTGAGGCTTGCCTGTTGCCATGGTGAGGAGGTGCAGGACAGAACTCAGTACCACGGGTCAGCCCGGTGCTGCTGGTTGTAAAGCTGGAGCTTGATCTGGTCTTTGATCTGATTCACGAGGATCTGGGACAGCAGAATTCCCACCAGCTGGAAGGGGCAAGGAGGCGTCAGGCCCTCAGGAGTGAGGGATGACCTTGTCGCCCTGGCTCCATTTTGCCAGTGTGGAGAGCACTGTCCCTTTCCCTCCTCTTAGCAATGTCAGTGCCTGACACCCTCACTCAGCCCCAGGCACCCTCCCTCCGACAAAGGAGTCTTAGCAGAGTTTGTGGGACCCACAAGCCTCACGGGGTAAGTTACCTGGGGGATGGCCAGGCCCAGTGCCACACCACCAAGTAAGAAGAGGTTGCTGTGTATCCAGTTGACCAACTTGTCAATACAGCCATTGGTGTAGATGACTTTGCTAGCTTCCAGGTAGTCAAAGGCCTGCATTCCTTGGCCACACATAGTGTTGATCACTGTCTGGGGAGAGAGTGGAAAGGCCAAGTGGGACTCCTGTTCCAATAATGTGCTGCTCGGGGCCCTGACTGATGGCCTCCTGCCCTTCCTAAACTCCTAAACAGTTGGCGAATATATGCAGAGGATGCTGGTTCAGGAAATCACTAAATGCAAACTTCCTTTCCTCTGAGTGATCTGGGTCCAGGTTTCCTTGTTTTAGATTTGCCGTCTGAGCCCCCAGGTGGGCTACAGGGGTGAAAGGTTAACAGAACCATCAGACAGGGGTAAAGAAAAACACCTGACAGCTGTCCTACAAAATTGATCGGTCAAGCTAGGGAACCGGATTCCCAGTAGCTTCTGCTCTAATCAGAAAGTAACTCAGATCAAAGAAAAAAAAAGGCTGGGTGTGGTGACTCACGCCTGTAATCCCAGCACTTTGGGAGGTGGAGGTGAGAGAACCAATGAGCCCAGGGGTTTGAGACCAGCCTGGGCAACATAGTGAAATCTCATCTGTCAAATAAATAAATAGCAAAGAAAGAAACTTGGATCACTGCCCAGGAGGAGATGAGAGGGGCCGCTGGCTCACCTGGTCGGGAATAGGCAAGCAGCAGGAGTAAGGCACAGAGCAGCGCTCACGGCTGGGGTTGTCTTCCGAGCAGTTGAAATACATGTTCTGGGACCAGTCCTTGTAAGAAATCCCTCCACAGCAGCTGAACTGAAACAAAGCCACCAGAGGCTAAGGATCACCCAGCCCTCACACTGAGGCGACCAGGGGACTTCTCAGAGTGGCTGAGTTTATGGCAAGCTTCCATCTGTAACTTCAGGTTGTGTTCAAACACAACCTTGAAACTTGAGCTCAAGTTTCCCAGTCACCTACACCTGAAATGTGCCCTTCTTAATTTCTATCACTGTACAGATCTTGCTATAACTTACCATCATGCTTGTTGGTATTAGGGTTGGGAACATACTATTTTGTTTTACACATTTGACTATAAGCTCCTTGGGCGAAGTTTCTGGCTTGGTAGTCCTGCACGATAGAGTCTGGCAAAAGGAGGTGTTCAAAAATACAGGCTAAAATAATTAAAGCATCAGTGCTGAAAGCATTGCCATAAGATACAGAAAACACAGAAGGGGATCTTCAATATTGTAAAGTCCATATTTATTCCACGAAAGCAAGTTGTATCTCAAAGTCAAGAGTGTGTTGCGCCAGGGGAAGAACTCAGGACTGGTCTCAAAAGCACTTTTGGGCCGAGCGCAGTGGCTCTCGCTTGTAATCCCAGCACATTGGGAGGTGATGGTGAGAGGATTGCCTGAGCTCAGGGGTTCGAGACCAGTCTGGGCAACTTTGCAAGACCTTGGCTCTACAATAAATAAAAAAAATTAGCCAGGTGTGGCAGCATGCACCTGTAGTCCCAGCTACTTGGAAGGCTGAGGCAGAAGGATCGCCTGAGCATGAGAAGTCGAGGCTGCAATGGGCCAACATAGTGAGACTCAAACTCAAAAAAAAAAAACTTTTACCTAAAAGTTAACTTTTGATTCATAGCTGCATTATTCACAACAGCCCAAAGGTGAAAGCAGCTCACATGTCCATAGATGAGTGAATGGATAAACAGAATTTGGCATGTACATGCAATGGAACATCATTTGGCCTTAAAAAAGAAGGACATTGTGACATATGCCACAACACGGCTGAAACTTGAAGACATGCTAAGTGAAATAAACCGGCCACAAAAGGATTGATACTGTCTGATTCCACTTGTGAGGTACCTAGCATAGTCAGATTCACAGAGACAAAGTCGAATGGTGGTTGCCAGGGTGGGAGGAAAAGGGTGAGTTCGTGCTGCCTGGGTAGAGAGTTTCAATTGGGGAAGACAAGAGTTTTAGAGGCAGATGGTAGTGACAGTTGCACAATGGAACAGCCTTAATGCCACAGAAATATACACTTAAAGATGGTAAGTTCTGTAGCTGGGCACAGTGACTCACGCCTCTAATCCCAGCACTTTGGGAAGTATAGATGAGAGGATTGCTTGAGGCCAGGAGTTTGAGACCAGTCTAGGCAAATAGCGAGATTCATCTCTATAAAAAAAAAATTAAAAAGTTAACAGAGCATGGTGGCACATGCCTTGTAGTACTAGCTACTTGTAGTCCCAGACTGAGGTGGAAGGATCACTTGAACCCAGGAGGTCAAGGCTGTGGTGAGCCATGATCGTGCCACTGCACTCCAGACTGGGCAACAGAGTAAGAGCTCAAAACAAAAAAAAAAAAAAGGAAATTTTATCACAATTTAAAACATGTAACCTTTGAATAGGTAATATTTAAAAATCTGCTCAGTTCCTCACCTTCTGGAGGTAACTACTTCTTTTCTTTTTGAGTTGGAGTCTCACTCTGTCGCCCAGACTGGAGCGCAGTGACCGCTCCCGGCCTGCTGGGCTCCAGCGATCCTTCTGCCTCAGCCTTCTGAGTAGCCGGAATTACAGGCGTGCGCTACCACACCCGGCTAATTTTTTTAAAATTTATTGTAGAGATCAGGACTCGTCAAGTTGCCCAGGCGGGTCTCAAACCCGCGGGCTCAGGCAATCCACTCACCTCAGCCTCCCAAAGTGCGGGATTACAGGCTGAGCCACCGAGCCCAGCTGGTAACCACTTCTAAGAGTTTCTCAGATATTTGTGCAGCCTCCATTTTCTTTTTCTTTTCTTTTTCTTTTTTTTTTTGAGTCAGAGTCTCACTCTGTCATCCAGACTGAAGTGCAGTGGCAGGATCATAGCTCACCGCAGCCTTGACCTCCTGGGCTTAGGTGATCCTCCCACCTCAGCCTCCCGTGTAGCTGGGAACTACTAGCATGTGCCACCATACCTGGCTAACTTTTTGATTTTTTTTTGTAGAGATGGAGTCTTGCTATGTTGCTCAGGCTGGTCTCAAACTCCTGGGCTCACGCAATCCTCCCGCCTCTGCATCCCCAGTGCTGGGATTACAGTGTGAGCTGCCGTGCCCAGTTTAACAGTACTCTTAAAGCACTCTGCTATGTATGGGTTTTTTCTATACCTCTTCTCAGAATCCATGACCCAGCAGGGAATGATGAGGCCCACAGGCCTAGAGGGCGAGGTCATCTTGGGACGACTTTAACTTCTACCCACAGCCTCCCAGGCCACGAGTTGACCCCACCATGCTCAGCTCATACCTTCTTCTGGCCAAAATCAATGAGGTTCTGCAGGTCCAAGTCATCTCGGTAGTGTACAATGGCATTGTTGATGATCTCACTCACCTTCCCCCGAGCCTGCCAGAGACAGGAGAGGCCATCAGGACACAGGGCCAATCCCTAACCTGCCCCCTCCCTGCAGAAATGACAGCAGACGAGGATCACCCTTTCCGGGAGTCAGCCTTGAAATCAGAACCAAGTCCAAGTCCCTAATGAAGGAAGATGGCCTGTCCCAAAGCCCTTCTGTCCCTGGGCCCTTGGACCAGTGGGCAAGAGTAAGACTGGGCCTGCTGTCACAGCTTCTCAGAGCCACATTTCAAGATAATAAAATGTTTATCCACCCTGAGTACTATTACCACAAAATACTTGTTGATGGATGCAGAGTGGAGAAACGAATTCTTTATTTTTTTTTAGTGGAAAGGGGCTTCCTGAGCTGAGGCACTGACCTCTAGTGGACACCAGAGAATTGCATCTGTTTAGACTAAATAGAAGGACATAATTTCAGGGTTTTACTAAGCCAGAATGACCAAGACATTCTGAATGAACTCAGTGGCTCTCAATTTTCTAATTTTCTACCATGGTCTCTTCCTTCCTGCTCCACTATTTTTCTCAAAGTTTCCTTGCATAGTCCTATACTCTGCTCCCGGCAATCATTTGCCTTTTGGGAAAGGCATTCTGATTCTTAATTAAAAGGACTCACTGAATGGCAGACCACTTCCAGATGTAGGCATGGTTAAAAATCTTGTTTTCTTAAGCCAGGTGCAGTGGCACGTGCCTGTAATCCCAGCTACTCAGGAGGCTGAGATGGGAAGATCCTTTGAGCACAGGAGTTCAATGCCACCCTGGACAACATATCAAGATGCCCCCATTTTTTTTTTGAGTTAGGGGAGTCTCATTCTGTCACCCAGGATAAAGTGCAGTGGCACACTCATGGCCACTGCAGCCTCGACCTGCTGGGCTCAGGCGATCCTTCCACTTCAGCCTTCCAAGCACCTGGAACCATCGGCATGTACAACCATGTCTGGCTAATTTTTTGATATATTGTAGAGATAAGGTCTTGCCATGTTACTCAGGCTGGTCTCAAACCCCTGGACTCAGGCAATCCTCTCATCTCTGCCTCTAAAGTGCTGGGTTTACAGGTGTGAATCACTGCACCTGGCCAAGATCCCATTAAAAAAAAATCTTGTTTTATTTCCTCCTCCCTTCCCTCTGTTTATCTCAATAAACAATTTTTAAAAGAAATAAGAGGCTGAGCTTGGTGACTCAGCCTGTAATCCCAGCACTTTGGGAAGCCAAGGCGAGTGAATTGCCTGAGCCCGCAGGTTCAAGACCAGTTTGAGCAACTTGGCAAGATCTCATCTCTACAACAGAAAAAAAAAAATTAGCCGGGCTTGGTAGTGTGTGCCTGTAGTTCCAGCTACTTGCTGAGGCGGAAGGATCACCAGAGCCCAGCAGGTCGATGCTGGGATGGCCGTGAGTGTGCCATTGCACTCCAGCCTGGGCAACAGAGTGAGACTCCAACTCCAACTCCAAAAAAAAAAAAAGAAAAGAAAAGAAAGAAGAGGCTCTTCATGCCACCTGTGGTTCACTTGATCACAGAGTTTTACTCAGTCATTTGCCATTAAAGCTTGCGAATTATTTAAACTTTGGGTTCATATAATTTACTTCTCTGCTGGCCTCTCAGACAGTCAGAGGAAAACACCTTACAATCCTGAAACTGTCTTCAAGGCCACATTCCCTTAAAGGGCACTTACTCATCCCTAAGGAGAACCTTTCACTGGCTGACATTTCTCAGGGGAAGGAGCACTGTGGTTAATTAATCAGGCTAACCACGGCAGGAACCTTCCCTTCCTCCCTCTGGGTCACACCTGAGGAGGCCTCTTGGCTCCCAGCATTACCTTGTCAGAGAAGACAAAGCCCAGGATCCCCGCAGCCAGCTGCAGCAGGAACACCACGGTTAGACACAGGGAGAACTGCCGGGAACAGGCAGGAAAAAAAGACAAGTTACCACTCTGGGCCGCAACTCCTCCCAGGGCTGCAGGGAGTGCTGGGGGCTGCCAGGCACTTCTCCCAGTCGCCCCCACACTGGAAAGGCAGCTGCCTCTGGGACAGTGTCCTGGGGGCTGCCGCCCTATGCTGGGTCGGGGGTGGGGTGGGGGGAGGGTTTGTGCACTTCAGCCAGGCGTGGAGGCCCAGGCCTTGGGAGCGGGTGGGGCAGAGCAACCAGTGGAAAGGCCGGAGGAGTGGCAGCAGGAGGCTGAGAGACACAGGGAGGAGGCCAGGGTCTCCCAGGGCCTGCCCACTCACCGTCTGCAAGAGGCAGATGTTCTCGCGGAGGGATCCGATGCAGCCACAGAAGGTGAGCAGGAACATGAGGACGCCCACCACAATCAGCAGGATGGCGGGGTCCACCGCCAGGCAGGCCAAGGCTGCTTCTGGGGGAAGCCGTGCCTCAGGCTGAGCCCCTGGATGGGTTGGAGAGGGCCCCCAGGCTGCTCTCCTTCCCCGGGGGGTGGAGGGGGATCTCCAGTATGGCCAGGTGAAGGTTATGGGCAGCAGCGCCCCCTCCCACAGGGAGAACACGGAGGGCCCAGAAGGAGTGGGGGTGTTTACGCTAAGGAACTAGCAAGAGTAACAGCCACCTTTAATCCCAGCACTTTGGGAGGCGGAGGCGAGTGGAGTGCCCCAGCCCAGGAGTTCGAGGCCAGCCTGGGCAACTTGGTGAGACCGTGTCTCTACAATACATAAAAAATGTAGCTGGGCGTGGTGGCGCACACTTGTAGTTCCAGCTACTTGGACAGCTGAGGTGGAAGGATCACCTGAGCCCAGCAGGTGGAGGCTGCGGTGGCCGTGAGCAAGCCATTGCACTCCAGTCTGGGTGACAGAGTGAGACTCTGACTAAAAAAAAATAAAAATAAAAATAAAAAGAGGTAAGAGCCTTTATCCTGAGCTTAAGGGAGGAGGGGCCGTTTTCACTCCAGAAAAGCATTTGAATGGCATTAGGCTTGCCAGCTTTGCTGATTCCATTTCCTGGAGATTTTGTGCAGTGAAACAGAAACAGAGGGTGAGTCTCTCCAGGCCAGAGCAGGGCTACAGCCCCTTGGTCTCTGCTCCCAGAGCCTGCCTTCTCTCCCAGACACGTCCTAAGCCTCAAATGCAAGCATACCTTGGACAGCTTCCTTGGGCTCAGGGAAATCCAGGGAACTGGCATGGGTAGTCTGACGTCTAAGTGGACCATGAACATTTGGCCACAGGGAGACTGCTCCTTCAGCCCCACAGCTTATACAGGAGGGAGGGCAAGAGGGCCAGGGCTGAGGAGGCAGAGGAGGAAAGGGCATGGCGAGAGTCCAGGCCGGGTGCAGTGGCTCACGCCTATAAGCCCAGCACTTTGGGAGGCTGAATCAGGAGGATTGCTTGAGTCCAGGAGTTCAGCCTGGGTAAATAGTGATAACTCATCTCTACAAAAACAGTAGTCCCAACTACTTGGGAGGCTGAGGCGGGAAGATCACCTGAGCCCAGGAAGCCAAGGCTGTAGTGGGGGCGTAACTGTGCCATTGCCCTCTAGCCTAGGTGACAGAGTGAGATCTCGACTCAAAAAAAAAAAAAAGTCAGGGGTGGGGGGTGGAGGCAGATCTGTAGCTCACCTGCATGCTTCATCAGTCGGGCATAGACTCCCACGGCCACCATCACCATGGAGATCACCTGTGGAGACAGGGAATGAGCCTGATCCCAAGCTCTGGCAGCCAGAGCGCCCTGAATGCCATGAGTAACCTTCTAGGAGAGCAGGAGGGGGCCGACTTTCCCGGGACCCCGAGGTGAGCATCCTGCATGGCCCCAGTGACCTTGCTGATACAATCTGCCAGTGCCTGACCACCATGAGACACCTTTACCAACATGGCTGCACTCAGTCCTCACAACACAATTATCTTGCGAGGCAGATATGATCCCTGTTTCGCAGTTGAGGAAATGAAGGCGATACAAGGTCAACACAGAATAGTGATGAGGAACGTGGGCTTCCGAGGAGTCAAACTTGGGCTCACAGGGGGCCAATTTCTGAGCCTCAATTCCTGTATCTGAAGATAGGAATTAAGAACAACTGCATCCAATAAAATGATTATGAGAAATAAAATAGTGCATTTAACAAAACGCTTGACGATGCGTATTATCTATACTTGCTTAGGGTCACACAGAAACAGTGCAGTTCTGAATTCCAATCCCTCCACACCAAAGGGCAGGCTTTGCACCACAACAGGCCTGGGCAGATATGGACTCCCATCCCTCTAACCCTCTTAGAGGCCAACATGGTGTCAAGTGCAGAAGGAGAGTGCACTTCACTGTGAAAGATGGGTGTGTAAGAGCTGGAACTGCCTTGGCAGAGGAAGCTTTCTCTTTAGAAACTCTGACTCTAGTGTGGAGGAATACAGTTTAGACCTTTTCAATTTTGGGGCTTCTCCCTGGGAGGACAAACCATCAGAGACTGCCCAGAGGGGGCCCTTCTCTGCCCCCCCAGGGCTCTGGGAGTGCAGGGCAGCCCTGGTGTGCTCCTCTTCTGGCTCCCCTTTCTTCATGCCCAGTCTCCAGGCTGGTGCTAAGCAGCAGCAGGCTGTTGCCATGGCAACTGATGGGCCCAAGCTTTGGCAGGAGAGAGTTCTCAGCAGCAGGGACTTGACCAACTCCGCAGGGAAGGAGATGGCTGGCTAGATGCCACTGTCCTGCCAGACAGAAGCCAGCAGGGAAAAGTCGCCTTGGGCTTTGCAGGGAGCAGGACGCTGGGGCCCGGAAGCAGGTCACAGGTTCAGGCAAGCCCTTCAGTACAAAGACCTGTTGCCTGGTAGACCTCCTTTACAAAGGCTCTCTGCCATGTAGCAGGAAGGGCTGGTGCATTCTGCAGTGACTGACAAAGCCTTTTCTAAAGCCGTGTCTTCCAAGACCCTCCTCCTCGGCCCCACATCTGACCTGCCTCTGAGGGTCCAATGCCCTCATCCTCCTTGTCCAGGAGAGACAGAATGGCCGGCAGAGCAGGTGCCAGTTGGCTTCTTGTCCGTTGGGGCAGCCAGGCTCAGGGAGCACAAGGAAGGTAGGGAAACCACACAACAGAGATGCCCGTCGTCCACCAGGCCTGGAGGCCAGCCCTCTGCCAGAGTGGGAGTGAGCATCTCCGTCTACCCTTTAAAACCACAGCCCGTTACAGTTCTGAATATCATTTCACTGAATGATTCAAGAATATGTATCCGGGTTGGGAGCGGTGACTCATGCCTGTAATCCCAGCACTTTAGAAGGCCGAGGTGGGAGGACTACTTGAGCCCAGGAGTTTGAGACCAGCCTGGGTAACATGGCGACACCTCGTGTCTACAAAAAAAATGAAAAAAATTAGCCAGGTGTGATGGTGTGTGTCCGTAGTTCCAGCAACTCAGGAGGCTGAGGCAGAAGGATTGCCCAGGAGGTCGAAGCTGTGGTGAGCCATGATCACACCACTGCACTCCAGCTAGGTGACAGAAAGAGACCCCGACTCAAAAAAATATATCTATATATTTTATGTATATAAATGTATACATAAACATGTTTACATATATATGCACCTGCTCTTAATTTCTGTTGCTTTCAGGCTCCTCACTGTTTTCCACATGTTAAATTTTCACTAGAGTATATAACTTTCCACAACAGGTGGCCTCTGATTAAATCCTAACACAGGTAAAGCAAGAAAGACAGAGACACCACATGCTGCAGGGTAACTGAATTCTGTTTATGAGCTTGTAATTACAGCAATTGCTCCATCCTCATCTGTGGTAGGTCATACACTGTCCCCCCAATGATGTCCGTGTCCTAATTCTTGGAACCTGTGAATAGGTGAACTTACATGGCCAAAGGGACTTTGCTGTGATTAAGGATTCTGAGATGAGAAGAACATCCCTGAGGACCCGAAAGAATCATAAAAGACCTTAGAAGAGGGAGGCGAGACAGTCAGCATTAGACAAGGAGATATGACAATGGAAGCAGAGGCTGGAGAGATAGGATGCCACGAATCAAGGAAGGTCCACAGCCTCCAAAACCTGGAGCAGCCAAGGAGGTGATACTTCCCTAGAGCCTCCAGAAGGAATGTAGCACTGTGAGACCTCGATTTTAGCTCAGTGAGACTTGATTTGGATTTCTGAGTTTCAGAAATATGAGAAGATAGACCAGACGCAGTGGTTCATGCCTGTAATCCCAGCATTTTGGGAAGCCAAGGTGGGAGGATCACTTGAGGGCCAGGAGTTTGAGACTACTCCAGGCAACATATCAAGACCCCATCTCTCAAAAATAAATAAATAAATAAAATGAAATTTGTGTTGTTTTAAGTCATTAAATTTGTGGTAACTTGTTACAGCAGCAATAGGAAACTAATACGCAATCCAAATCTCATTCATCAGTTGGTATGAAGGTACTCTGAGGACCATATGTGTTATATGGCACAAGGGCAAGAATATTTATAGCTTAAAGTCTATTCTCAAACTTGGCTGCCATTAGAATCACCCAGGGGCTTGGGATTGTGAGGTAGAGACTTAAGAAATTCCTAATGCCTGGGCTGCATCCCCCACCAAGTAGATCAGACTCTCTGGCACGGTGGTTCTAAAGGTGTTACAAGTGATTCCAATGTGTGGCCAAATTCAAGAACCTGTAATCCTAAAGCACAATCAGCAAGGGATCTAGGGCAGCAGATGCAGGCTACATTAAAATCAAGATTAAGCCGGGTGTGGTGGCTCATGCCTAAAATCCCAGCACTTTGGGAGGCTGAGGCAGGAGGATTGCCTAAGCCTGAGAGTTCAAGAGCAGCCTAGGCAAAATAGTGAGACCTTATCTTTACCAAAAAAAAAAAAAAAAGGTCAATCAACTGGGCATGGTGGCACATACTTTTAGTCTCTGCTACTCAGGAGGCTGAGACAGAAGGATCACCTGTGCTCAGGAGGTTGAGGCTGCAGTGAGCCATGATTGTGCCACTGCACTCCAGCCTGGGTGACAGAGTGAGACTTTGACTCAAAAAATTATAATAAAATCAAAATTGATATGTTAGTATCATTATTAATATTTAATAGGCTCCTGAATGAATCAGCCTCTCTCCTGATTCAAATTCTGCATTACCCAACCCGACTTTATACACCCCCGTTCCTGTCCTCCTCTCCCACCCAGGATTCCTCAAAATTGCCGCTCTCCCAAAGCTAACGCTGTTCCTTCTGTCAAGAGCATCACATTTTACAGGTAAACAGAACTTTAGAAGTGGGCTCGGCCACTCACCTCTTTTTACAGATGAGGCCACAAGAGCGGAAGTTGCACTTGACCAAGTGCATCCGGGTGAAGGTTTCCAGTCTCATTCCTATACTCTTTCCACTGTGTCAGTATTGGCTGCAAAATTCCTCTAAGACCTCATAATATCACCAGTGACCTCCTTTCACGATGAGGATGGAGACAAAGACACTTCTCTCCTTAGGATGACTTTTCACATTCTGGCTAGAATGAAGCCTGGCTGGAAACTTTCAAAAGCTAGGTACACTTTTTAAGATGGCAGAATCTAGCTTTTAGCAAAATGTATGTTCCTGAAAAGTTGTCGATCAAATTATGTAAAATAATTTGCATGCCACGGGTACCTTAATCCTTGTGTAAGGTGAGTGATCACCTTGTAATGAAAACGGCTATCCCAGCCGGGCTTGGTGGCTCAGCCTGTAATCCTGCGCCTTGGGAGGCTGAGGTGAGTGGATTGCCTGAGCCTGCGGGTTCGAGACCCCCTGGGCAACTTGGCGAGACCTCATCTCTACAATAAATAAAAAAAAAAAATCAGCCAGGCGTGGTAGCGCATGCCTGCAATTCTGGCTACTCGGAAGGCTGAGGCGGCCAGGAGCGGCTACTGCACTCCAGTCTGGGCGACAGAGTGAGGCTCCAACTCAAAAAAAAAAAATAAGAAAAGAAAAGAAAACAGCTATCCCCAGGCTCTTTGGAGAAACGACTGATTCTAGGACTGAGGTAGGAAATATACAAGATGAGCTTGGAGTAGGTGTCAGAAATTAAGAAATGCTCAAAACAAACAAAAACGTTCACCAGGTGTGGTGGTGTGTGCCTCTAGTCCCAGCTACTGGAGAGGCTGAGGCAGAAGGATCACCTGATCCTAGGAGGTTGAGGCTGCGGTGAGCTGTGATCATGCCACTGCACACCTACCTGGGCAGCAGAGTGGGAGCCCTATGCCAATGTTACACAGGAGCCAATGGCCAAGGCTGGAGCAGCTTGAACATCAAAATAAAAATAAAGAAGCACTGAATTACAACCTGACGTATAAAACACACATCTATGAGTCCATGCTGATATAAATAAATAGGGGGGAAAAGTCTCCCATGCAGAAGATTTTTAAATAATTTCTGTAGGCTCCACCCTCAAGGCAGGAGAGCTTAGCTCCTGAAGTGTAGACTGTGCATAGTGGCTCTCTTCAAAGGGCATAGTATGGAGAAGAGGGAAAGACTGTACAGTGGAGAAACCTGATGAACACTGCTTTATCCAGGTGGTTAAGGTCAACACCAACAATGATGGTGTCGATGAATTGTTGGCATGATATGACATATGATGAAAAGTGGCATTAAGCCGGGCATGGTGACTCACGCCTGTAATCCCAGCACTTTGGGAGGCTGAGGTGAGAGGATTGCCTGTGCCCAGGGGTTTGAGATTGCCTGTGCCTGGGTAGCTTGGCGAGACTCTGTCTCTACAGTAAATCAAAAAATTAGCTGGGCATGGTGGTGTAAGCTACTTGGAAGGCTGAGGCAGAAAGATCGCCTGAGCCCAGCAGGTCGAGGCTGTGGTGGCTGTGAGCATGCTACTGCATTCCAGTCTGGGCAACAGAGTGAGACTCTGACTGAAAAGAAAACAAAAGAAAGAAGGAAAAGAAAAATGGCACTCTACCTCTGTGGTCTTCCTCCTCATAACTCCAGTACAGCTACAAGAAAAGCATCAGGCGAGTTCCAATAAAGGAACATTCTACAAAATACCTGACCAGCACACTTCACAACTGTCAAGGTTATCAAAAACAAGGAAAGTCTGAGAAACTGTCACAGCCAAGAGAAACCTAAGGAGACATAACAATAGAATGGAATATAGGGTCCTGGGTGGGATCCTGCACGGAAGGACACTAAATAACAACTAGAGAGATCTGGATAGAGTATGGACCATCATGGTAATGCCATTAATCGTAACAAATGTGTCACGCTAGTGTAAAACGTTAGTGACAGGGAAAACTGAGGATGGCCTATGTGGGAACTCTGTGCTGTCTTTCACATCTTTTTATTGACACACATAAACTGGACACATTTATGGGGCCCGTGTGAGATTTTGACGCAATCCTACAATGTGTAATGATCAGTCGGGGATTTAGAATGTCTGTCACCTTGAATAGCTATCATTTCTTTGTGTTAGGAACATTTTAAATCTTCCTATTTTGAAATATGCAATATGCTGTTTAACTATAGTTACCCTACTGTGCTGGTGAAAACTGAACTTACTCCTTTGATGCAGTGGTCCCTACCCATGAACTAACTTCTCTTCAAGCCCCCACCCAGAGCTCTTGGCCCCTCTCAGCCTCTAGTAACCACCATTCTCCTCTCTGCTTCTAGATCTACTTTTTAGCTCCCATGTGAGTGAGAACAATGTAATATTTGTCTTTCTGTGGTTGTTAATTCACTTCACATAATAATCTCCAGTTCCATCCATGTTGTTGTGACAGGATTTCATTTTTCTTTTTTTTTTGAGTTGGAGTCTCACTCTGTTGACCAGGTTGGAGGGCAGTAGCATGCTCATGGCCACCGTAACCTCGATCTGCTGGGCTCAGGTGATCCTTCCGCCTCAGTCTTCCAAGTAGCTGGAACTACAGGCATGTGCCACACTGCTTGGCTAATTTTCTTGATTAATTGTAGAGATGAGGACTCACCAAGTTGCCTAGGCTGGTCTTGAACCCGTGGGCTCAGGCAATCCTCTCACCTTGGCCTTCCAAATTGCTGGGATTATAGGCAGGAGCCATGAACCACTGCACCCAGTCAGATTTCATTCTTTTTTACAGCTAAATAGTATTCCACTGTGTATATGTAGCACATTTTCTTTATTCATTCATTCTTGATGAACATTTAAGTTGATTCTCTATCCTGACTGTTGTGAATAGTGTTGCAATAAAAATGGGGGTGCAGGAATCCCTTCAATATACTGATTTCTTCTCCTTTGGATACATATCTGGTAGTGGGATTGCTAGACTGTGTGTGGGTTTTAGTTTTTTGAGAAATGTTCATCTCTGTACTATCTTAATTTTTCTGTAAAACTAAAACTGGGCCAGGTGCAGTGGCTCATGCCTGTAATCCCAGCAATTTGGGAGGCCGAGGCAAGAGGATTGCTTGAGCCCAGGAGTTCCAGACCAGCCTAGGCAACACAGTAAGACCTTATCTCTAAAAAAAAAAATTAGCCTGGTGTGGTGGTACACACCTGCAGTCCCAGCTACTTGGAAGGCTGAGGTAGAAGGACCACCTGAGCCCAGCAGGTCAAGGCTGAGGTAGCCATATGATTGTGGCACTGCACTCCAGCCTGGGAGACAGAGTGAGACTCCAACTCAAAAAACCCCCCAAAAAACAAAAAACTAAAACTGTTCTAAAAAATAAAGTCTATTTTTAAAAGCCCCTCTTTGATTTGTTAGTTTTGCACATTTTTAATATTAGATTTTCCCTCTCTCTCCACTCTTTCTTTCTCTCTTAGAGATAAGATCTCACCCTGTCACCTAAGCTGAAGTGCAGTAGAATGATCATAGCTCACTGCAGCCTCAAACTCCTAGGTTCAATCTATCCTCCTGCCTCAGTTTCCCAAGTACTGAGACTATTGGCATATACTACCACATCTGTCTAATTTTAAGTTTTTTGTAGAGTCTATGCTGCCCGGGCTGGTCTTGAACGCCTGGCCTCAGGTTATTCTCCTGCTTTAGCTTCCCAAAGTGCCAGGATTACAGGCAATATCAGATTTTCTTAAACTGGGGCTCATTTGCATACAGTTTTACAAACTTAAATCAGGGTGATTTCCACTCATTCACACCAAAACTTAGGGCAGTGAATCATAAAGTTGTCTAAGTGACAGGGCACTGGGAAGCCATGGTACTTTGTTGGTGTATATTATGAATTTCATCATATTAAATTCTTTTTTTCAACGTTAATATACTATTGCTGACATCTAATTTATAGTCCATATGAACTTTCCCCATAATGTTCTTTGTAACTGTTGTTTTCTCTTCCCATTCAGGATCCAATCAAGAATTGTGCATTTAGTGATTAAATTTCCTTTTGCCTGGAACGGTCTCTTAGCTTGTGTTCTTTTCTCTTTAATCTTCTTCCTTTGTTTTTGACCTTAAGACATTGACTTAAAAATCTGTGGCAATACACATGTAACACCAAATTTACCACTTTAACCAATTTAAAGCATTCAGTGCAGGGGCCTTAAGTACATTCACATTGTTGTGCAACCATCACCACCGTCAGGTTCCAGAACTTTTCTTCAACCCCACTGAGCCGTCAGTCCCCATTTCTCCATCTCTTCCCCAGCCCTTGGTAGTCACAAAGCTACTTTCTGTCTCTGAATTTGCCTACTCTGGACCTTTCCTATAGTTGGAATCACACAACATGAGGCCCTTTGTGTCTGGTTTCTTTCACTCAGCACAGTGATTTCAAGATTCATTCATGCTGTCACATGTGTTACAACTTCATTCCTTTTCATGGCTGAATATGATTCCATTGTAGGAATATAACACAATTTGTTTATACATTCATGTACTGATGGTCATTGGGAGTGTTTCTGCCTTTTGGCTATTGAACAGTGCTGCTATGAACATCTGAGTACAAGTTTTTATTTGAAAATATTTTCAGTTTTCTCAGGTACATACCTAGGAGTGGAACTGCTGGGTCATATGGTGACTCTATGTTCAATTTTTTAAGGAGCCACCAAACTGTTTTCCACAACAGCTGTACCATTTTACGTTCCCATTAGCAATGTATGAGGGTTTCAGTGTCTTCACATGCTCGCCAACACTTGTTCTGACATTTTTTCGGACACTGACATTTTTTTATAAGTCCTGGTCAATTGTTTCGCAGAAGGTCCCTCAATTTGGATTTGTCTGGTTGCTTCTTCACAATTAGATTCAGATTTCACATACTACACTGACACTGTTGTGTCCTTTTCAGTGTATCATGTGAGGAAGCATAACATGTGAATTTCTACCACAGAAATAAACAATTTTACTAACAGAGATGAGGCTATCAGACATATGTCTCTGCATCTCATAGAAAAACATAGGTAATGTTCTAAGTAAATT